ACGAGTTTGAATACTCTCTGAGGAGATAACAACAAAACAAGTCTCGTCAAGTTTGGACTTATCCACGGTAAAAAATCAAACTTAGCCACGATCATAAATTCTAGATTTAGCCATATTTCCACGTGCTTACAGGTGAGGTGTGTTGCGTCTGTGCTTGCATGCCTACACATGCACGCATTTGTTAGTTGCATCGCCGATGCATCTCCTAGAGTTAGCAATGCAATAGGCGCATAGAGCCGAGCCCCCTCGCATCACCCCTTTACCGTCTCGCAGGAGCCAAACTTCTCATCATATGTCGCCCAGACGTCTTTGTAGTTCCATTTGATCGAGCAAATTTTTTATCTTAAGTATTTTAGATTGTTTTAAGTGATTAAACAACAAATTCTTGTAAAAACTCTAGTGTTAGCCATATTTCTCAAAATCCAACCTGGACAACATCCATGAGTTCTTTTCTACCATCTCGTGTCTCAACCATCCAGAGTCCTTGTCGGTGTGACTCGATAAGAACATGGATGGTCTATTTCCTTCTCTAGATGACGCAATTGCTCGGCGCCAAAGACCCTCACTTATTGCTTTAAGCTGCATGGCATTTACGCATACTAGCATCATGTAGCTGGATCAAGGAGTTTGTCGACGTCCAAAACTTGTACCTTGAGGTAACCTTACAGGAACATCATCACATGCATATCATCCTGGATCATTTAGTACATCGTACCAATGGGCCCATGAAACGTCTCTGTATCAAGCCAGTTCAAGATGATGCGCCCCGTATAGGCATTAATGATGAGCATCGTTGGGTTACGACTTGAGGTCCTTGAAATTATTTACACCACAAACTTACATGCAACTATTGAAATATACAAATTTGGAAGATAAAATATAGCAAACATATCAATTCACTACCGGCGATAAGGGAATTAGAAAGATTTAGAGGGGCCAAAACAGCATCACAATTCGGCCATGTTAAAGATTGATTTAGGTTTAGGTCCAAAAGTAAAGTTTGTTGTACCCAACTCAAACTACAACTTCTATTAAAGGTCAAACTTCATATTAAAAAAAAACTATAGTTTTACCACGTTAAAACAGCTTCATGAAAAAAGGAGTTAACTATTGATACAACACTTACAAGCATTTTAGGCTAGTTCATGAACATAAACCCTAGATCATTTTTTATCTTAAGTATTTCTGGACTGTTTTAAGTGATCAAACAACAAGTCACTGTAAAAAAAATCAAGAGTTAGCCACATTTCTCAATATCCAAGTCATGGTAAAAATTAAAATTTATCAATTTCCATAGCTCGGCGTCGTAGTAATTGGCGCCGAGCTCATGCCACGTCCGCGCCTAGCAAACATCCACGTCAACAACACGAAGAAAATGACCACCGGACCTCGGGCGCGAAAGCACTTGGCGCCGAGGGCGTATAGCTTCTGCGCCAATTATCACGGCGCTGAGGTCAGGGTCTATTTTTTGAAAAGATACTGCCAGGGGCATATTTGTGAAAATCTTTCAAAAAAGGACTGAAAAACAAAAAAATCGGAGCCAGGACGCGTGAATGAAGGGAAAGGAGGAGCAAGATAGGCGCTTACCAGACGTACACATGGTGGCCTAGTCGGCCATTCGATGCGCCGATATGTGTGCGGGTCAGTGGTGGAGCCATGATTTCACGGCTAGGTATTACACGTATGAAAAATTTCCAATGCATATAAGCAATAGTAATAAGGGGCAAAACCAGTATAAAATTGATCCCGGCACATGCTCAAGTAGTATAAATTTTTTTAGAATATATGTTAGGTAAAATATAATTTTACCACATTAACAAGGCACCGAGCAAAGTGAACACCGTGTAGCCCTGATAATAATCAACGTTGCAAGAACAAAATGCAACATTTCTTTCAAAAAAAACACAATACAATAAAAAATAGAAAACAAAACCTTCAATTCTTACTTTAAAGAATCTAAGAATGGATTTGGGTCCTTTGTGTTCGCCTTGCTATTGCTTCAAGCCAGAGATGAGAAAGGTGCCGAAGGGGACGGCCGGACGCCCAGACACCGGAGCCGAGGGAGCTGCAAAGACCCGACCGCCGCCGCCATGTTGCCGGAGAAGTGCGGGTGCAAAGTATTTGCCGTGTTAGTTGTTGAGGCCCGATTGCCGGAGGGCCGAGAAGCGAGAGGAGACCGACCGAGCGAGGGTGAAGGGCCGAGGGGAAGAAACCGACCTGCCGCCGTTGTTAGCGCGGCGCCCACCGGTGTAATGTCGCCCTTGGTCGATGAGAGCAACGGACGGGAGTAAGAGACGAGGGCGACGGAATACGGTCGATGGGTTTATGTCTTTCTCGAGTTCGTGGGCTGCTGCACTAGTTGTTCTCACCGGGCTTTTGGGCTACATATTTAAAACATTCAACAAACTAACATCTGTATCATTACAAATGTATACGTTCAACAAACTAACATCTGTATCATTACAAATGTATGCGTATATTTGTGTTTGTCAAAAAAAAAAAGGGTATTTCATGGAATATATGGGCATACCCCTAGCGCCGCCCACTGTGCGGTGCAGCGACCGCTGAGTCCCAAACACAGGGCACCGGCGGCAATGGACAGCAGGTGCCGCAACGTCCGCGGAGGTAGGAGCTCATTTTTTTCTTTTCTGACGTCGACGACGACACTGCAGCTGCAGGTGCTCCGGATACTCCTATACGACGCCAACGTGTGGAGGCGCGTCGCCGTCATTTTGCCAGCGCGCGTGGCCGCGCGTGCGCCGCAGCCCGCAGCTCGCTGAGGCCGGCCGGCTTGTGGGCGTGGTGCGTGGCCGACGCAGGCACGCGACCAGCAGGCTGAGGCAAGGCTCTCTTCGGCTTACCTTATATCCGGTTTATTTGACTTCTTTTTCAACCGAAATCGTGTTTTCTCTCATAATATTTTAATCAGAACAGTGTTTTTTAACCAATTTTAGTTAAGATTCAGCGAGTCGAACGGGGGTTGCTTGTCCAAATAAACTAGACAGAGGTCGATTCAAGACCGGGCCGGTTGCTTGTCCAAATGTGAAATGTCCACCGTGCTCGATGTCATAAATGCCCAGTGGCAAATTGGCAAACCATGGAAAGAGATGTTAATGGTAGTGTATGCACAGCACGTCACGCGAGCGCGATCGGATTCGGATCCGTGTGGCCAAAAAAGAAAAAGGCAACGTTACTGCCAAAGGAATTGTGAATTGAAAAGTCTCAGTCTCCATGTTGTACGCTACGATACGTACGCCATCCATCTGGTGGATGTTTGTTCACGCGAGCGAAACAAAACTACCTCAAATCAAAAGAGTCAAAAATCAGCCGTTTTGTCCGTTTTTTCTACCAGATGCCGAACGGGCTGATGAACCGGAGTCTGAACCCTTCGTCTTCTGCTGCCCAGTTTCTCTGCATGCGGTACTGCATAGCAATTTCTTACCGATGCCTGTAAAAGAGTTAAATCGTCTACTTTGTTTTCTAGAGAAGTCAGACAGAGGGAGCATATGTGATGTATATATCAGAAATTCAATTTTAAGTACTCCTCTATACTAAAATAAAGTCGTTTTGAACAATGTACACGTCTCAAAAGTATTACTTTGACTCCTTGTTTTTTATAAAAATATTAATAAAAAAGTGATATATGTATATTTTTTATGAAAGTATTTTTCAAGATAAATCTATTTATATGGCTTTTATATTTCGAAACTCAACAACTTAAAAGTTATTCATGATCTATATTCTCAACGTTTGACCTAAGCCTTATTCAAAAACGACTTTATTTTTTTAATACGAAGGAGTATTTAGATTTGGATACAGCATAGAAGTTAAATGTCTTCGTAGGTAGATCATCCAAGTATGATTTTGACACTTCCGGAATAAACGGATGAGAGATATCCGTCGTCATTTTATCCCTACACATTTGCTCTTTTCTTCCTTACCAATAATACACACACGCACGTCCTACTCATGTTTGATTTTCTCCTCCACATTGCAATCGGAGTTGTGGCCAAGGATTTCTTTTCTCTTATCTATAAAAAGATCTCCGATGAGATTTGAGTTGTGCTTAGAGAGTTAGTTCACGTTATGTATCCTCTCCATTTTAAATTGCAAGTCCCGTAGTTCTTAGTATATATCTATATATACTATATATTTATATATATTGTATAAAAATTACTAAAAATATAAAATAACTTTATAATTTAAAACAGAGTAGTATGTGCAAACATGTATTATTTAATATAATTAAATTTGACATACTAGCTAATGCAACATTAGGTTTGTATGACCACTGTATAAGCCTGCATATGAGACTATACAGGTGATCAAATATGAGCAAACTGCATCGTACAAGCCTAGATACAGGCCAGAACAGACAATCGTTATTTGGTCCGTCTAGTTTTATGTTTATAAAAGTTAAAAAAAATAGTTTTATGTTTATAATTGCTTTCCCCTGTAAGTGGTTGTACTAAACCTAGAGCTACAGAGTGAAGTATGGGTATATAAGCTCGACTTGGGTACCGTTTAGTTCCCTTTCAAAATGTTAAATTTTTCAAGATTCTCCGTCACATCGAACCTTTGACGCATGCATGAAGCATTAAATATAAATAAAAAATAAAACTAATTACACAGTTTAGACGAAATTCACAAGGCGAATCTTTTAAGCCTAATTAGATTATGATTGGACACTAATAGCTAAATAACAACGAAAATACTACCGTGTCGTTTTGCCAAAAATTTCGACATCTAAACATACCCTTCCTTTAAAGATAATACTTTTATATATATATATATATATATATATATATATATATATATATATATATATATATATATATATAGAGAGAGAGAGAGAGAGAGAGAGAGAGAGAGAGAGAGAGAGAGAGAGAGGCGCGCGCGCGCATATATACGGAGGTAACAGACCAGACACGAATCGTCAGAACCTAAATAGTAACATTTTATAAGTTTATAACAGAATATAAGGGTGTGTGGAGACCACCATGTATCGTTGTTGGGAGAGGAGAGGCGGGACAAAGCGGAGGCACCTCCAAGGCTCCAAGGCACCACCACTCCACGCACGCCAACGCCACTCTCTCGGGCGCAACAGAACAAATCGACCGAGCAAGAGACAATGGCCCCGCACGGCGGCGCCGGCCGCAGGCTACAGGGCGGACGGAGTGTACCGCTCCCCGCGCCCGGCCGTGCGCATCGAGTCCGACCCGGGCCTCTCCCTCAACGACCTCCTCTTCCGCCGCGCCGACGCGTGCCCCTCCGCTCTCGCGCTGGTCGACTCCGCCACCGGCCAATCCTTCACCTTCGCCGCTTTTCGCTCCGCCGTCCTCACCACGGCCGTCGCGCTCTCCTCGCGCGCGGGCGTCCGACGCAACGACGTCATCCTCTTCTTCGCCCACAACTGCTTCCTCTACCCCGTCTGCTTCTTCGCCGTCACCGCCCTCGGCGCCGTCGCTACCACGGCCAGCCCCTCTATACCCCCCAGGGAGGTCGCCAAGCAGGTCACCGACTCGCGCGCCAAGCTCGCAATCACAGTCTCCGAACTCCTTCCCAAAATCGTGGAGCTCAGCCTCCCCACCATCCTGCTCGACGTCGACGGCGGCGCGGCCAGTGCCACCACCTCCAAGCCTCAGGGGCGCCAGCGTCACGCTCTACTCAGACCTCATTTCTGGGGCGCGGGAGACGGAGTACCGCCGCCCGCCGACGAAGCAGAGATACGGCCGCGCTGCTATACTCGTCCGGCACGACAGGGGGCGAGCAAGGGCGTAATCCTGACGCACCGCAACTTCATCTCGGCGGCGGCCATGATTACAGCGGACCAGGACGCGCTCGGAGAGGGGCCCAACGTCTACCTCTGCTTCCTGCCCATGTTCCACATCTTCGGCTTGTCCGTCATCACGTTCGCGCAGATGCAGCGTGGCAACTCCGTCGTCGTGATGTCGCGGTTTGACATGGACTCTGTCATGGCCGCCGTGCAGCGGCACCGTGTCACTCACCTCTTCTGCGTGCCGCCGGTCATGATAGCGCTCGCCAAGCTCGGGAGTGTCGGGAAATACGACCTCAGCTCGCTCAGGTTCATCGGCTCTGGCGCGGCGCCGCTTGGCAAGGACGTGATGGAGGCGTGGCCAAGAACTTTCAAGAAGCCGTGATTGCCCAGGTAATTGACCATTCACGATTTTGCAGCTCTTCAATGTGATTATGGTATGCTGATTAATTTTAGTACTTGTTTCGGGTCTTTCTGGGATTGAATGGACCAAATTTTTTCATCCTTTTCCATCAGTGTCTTTGAGGAGGCTAACCTCGATTCTGTTGTCCTTATCTATAATTGTTGGATTAGACGACAAAATTCGAATACTTTTTGATACTGCTCCACCAAGGACATAATCAGATCGTATCGTGGATTATTCTATCTTTAGGCTGGTTTGGTGTGAGGGAAAAACACTGTTCCCGGCTGGAAATTTACTATTGTTTACGAGCAAGCGAACAAGCTGAAGTGATGATGGAAATACCAAATGAGCGGCTATAGACTTGATTTTGCTTTTTGGAACAGAGAAACTGAGAAAGTATCTCTCCCTCTTTCGTTCTTTTTTTTTTAACTATATAGGAAAGTGAACTTTTAATGCTGTATACTTGGACATTCACTCGGCATATAACTTAAAGTAAGGCACAAGATGGGCAGTTCTGGTTATACCCACTAACTATGTGCTGCTCCAAACTATGTGCTGCTCCAAACTTAGTTAGTGGTTATACCCACTAACTATGTGCTGCTCCAAACTGTGTGCATCCTTTTCTTAGTTTTAGGCCATTGGTTGTCATATTCCCATACTATGTGCTGCTCCAAACTGCAAAATTATGGAGCACGATATTGATATTCCTAATTCAACTGCATGTTGTGTTGCTTAGCATGTGACTAGATCTGTTAATGTGATGTGGTCTGTCTTTATTTGTTTTATCCTACATGTCATTTTGAGATATTAAATAGGGTGATTTACTTATTTGCCACTGGTGGTTTTGTTTGGCAAATATGCAATTGTTTCTATTATATATGAGATGCTGCTGATCAAATGTCGACGTGTGATCCACATGATAATAACAAAGTAGCATCAAGGAACTGAATAACGTGTCCACCTGTAAACATAAGATGCCTGGTCTGCAGGCATGGGTGGTTTTCTTTTTAGGGAAATGCAGCAGAGGAAACCCCTGCTGTGTGTTGTGGTAAACAAATTGTAAATAAATGGGTGTTTATCTTGAAATCACAACTAACCTTTGACAGCTGAGTTCATTCCATAACATGGCTGCAGTATTCATACACCTGAGGAGCTAAGTGACCACCATAGTAGTAAATAGCTTAATGAGGTTCATCTCCTTATGGGAATATCCATCATTGTGGATTTGTGGATGCATCCCGTTTCTCTTCAGATTAGACATGTACTCACTATGCTGCTGAATCTGTTCAAAACGTGCACTCTTTTTGGCATTCCATTCACTCCCGAGTCATGACAGCTGTAAACTGAGCATATTTTCCATGCCTAAGGGCCTGTTTGGATCTACTGAGGAATATAACAATCCAAGTAGTAGGTTTGGAGGATGTAATGGATTATTGAAATCTGGGTGGTTCGGTAGTTGTTTGTCCACAGTAGAATGAGGGGTATTTGCATCTCATTGTCTTTTTTAGCTGATTCTTGTAATCCATAGTAGATCCAAACACACCCTTTGTTTCATGGAATATGGTGCTCCTCTTGCAGGGTTACGGAATGACTGAAACTTGTGGGATCATATCTTTAGAGTGCATGAAAAGGACAAGTTCGTGAATTTGGGTCAACTGGAGCACTTGTCTCTCAGGAGTTGAAGCAAAAATTGTTGATGTAGAAACATTGAAATGTCTGCCACCAAATCAACTAGGAGAAATTTGTGTTCGAGGACTGAACATAATGCAAGGTAAAAGTTTAAACTTTGTCTGTTTTGTGTTTTTATTCTTTCTCCCTGTGTTCGTCAACTATTAAACATTACCAATCTTGGTCCACAAATATTATAATTAGACTCTAGCGATTTGTTGGTAATGTTTTTAGTTTGCAATTAGCTGTTTACAATGTACGATTTAGGAGTAGTATTAAGCAGCAACTGTTTTCCATTAAAAAACTCCCAATGTTTCAGATAATCTGTCTAGAAAGCTCCTTGTCAACGGGCTGTTTATCTACATTTTTATTTTCCCACAATAGCTCCCAAAATTTTCCATTGTGTTCTGTCCTAGAGAGATATTGTGGCCAAAACATTTCGCTACTCATTGGAGTATATTATTTTTAGGGTATTTCAACAATGTGCAAGCTACTGAATTTACAATCAAGCAAGGGTGGTTGCATACTGGTGATATTGGATACTTCGATGAAGGAGGTCAGCTTTTTGTAGTTGATAGACTTAAAGAATTGATTAAGTACAAAGGTTTTCAGGTAAAGATTCTCATTTTTTCACAAACAAATGTTTAGTTTCTGCAAACTTTTACTTATAATCACGTGGGGGTGAAAATTAGTAATTTGAACAGCGCTTACCGAAGAAGATTTTGTCCAGCCTCATTTGGGTCCTTTCTGCAGCTAATGTTTGCAGTTCTACTAAGCATTTGCATTCATACAAATTATTATTCAGTACATTGATTAGTTTTCATCTAGAACACTTCATACAGTTAAATTTTTAAATCATTTTGTCAGATATAACTAGAAACTACAGTGTCTTGTGAATATCTATTTGGAAGCATGGGAGTTTTCCTAATGGCCTCAATCAGTGTATTCTTTCTCTACTATTCAATCTAACTATTATAAAATGGATCAGCCTTATTCACATATGTTATTTTCTCTTTTCAATCTTATATCATGTATTTTCCTTTAGTGGAATCTCATATTTTCTTCTGGCAGATTGCACCCTGCTGAGCTTGAAGGGCTACTTCTGTCTCATCCAGAAATTCTGGATGCTGTTGTTATCCGTAAGTTTAGCCACCTAATCATTGGGGTTGATAGCTACTTTTGTGCGTGCGTTTTCGAAATCTTTTTTTTTCTGTATCTTATGGGAAGATATACTTGCTCCCAAGGTTCCCCGATGCTGAAGCTGGGGAAGTTCCTATTGCCTACGTCATAAGGTCCCCTGTGAGTTCTTTGACTGAAGTTGATGTCCAGAAATTTATTGAAAAGCAGGTGAGCCTGTGTAGGAACCTTGGCTTAATTGTTTCTGTCAGCAAGTCTAACTCTCATAGTACCTGTCACTCTAGTATGGAACGTTCGTAATTCCTGAGTAAATTAACATTGCTCAGTATTTTTCATCAACTGATACAACCGTGTTAATACATTACCGATTTTGTTCATGAACTCCCTTATAGGTTGCATACTACAAAAATTGAGGAGGGTTACCTTTGTGGACAGCGTACCAAAATCTGCTTCAGGAAAGATTTTGAGAAGAGAACTCATTGCTAAAGTCAGATCGTCCAAGCTATAGCAAATCAGCTTCTGTTTCATAAGACTGCTTGCCTCCTATCTAGTCCCTCCATTTCAAATTGTAAGTTATTCTGGCTTCTTAGGTACATGGTTTTTTGTATGCATCTAGATACACTATGTCTAAATACATAGTAAAACGAAGTATCTAGAGAAGCTAGAAACGACTTACAATTTAAAAAGGAGGGAGTACTAGATTTGAAATTTGTCGATTGAGCGTAAAGGTTTACATGTTACTGAGAGGAGCATATCAAGCAAAACATTCAGTTTGACACATCAGACATTGCGCGTGTATATCATCATATATGTGAGATATATATGCTCCAGTTGGCCTCAATCCCAGTAGCCATACATGGCGGTGTTGTGTGACTTGTATCAAATATTGGGCCTGATTTACATACACTAATTGAAAACAGTATAAATATGTAAGATGACTCTGCTGCGTGTACATCTTACATCTATATAAGTCGACGTTCTTGGTCCATACAGACACAGTTGTATCAAGAAATATTGCGTGGTAGTTTGTGTAGCCACCAGCGCACTATCTGTGGGACTGGCTGACTGTTAGCCATGAGCGTACTATATGTGGCTGTTAGCCAGTCACCTATCATTCCATCCCATCCTCACTTCTCTATAAATGTTTGTTTGTTCTGGACTTCTATTTCATTCCAAAAGGTCCAAAGACCTGTTTTATCTGGCTTGTTGTTTTATTTTGTTATGTTTTGCTTTTCATTTTGCATTGTATAGGTAGAACAAGATTTGGCCCAGTTGAGTGAGAAAAACTTGGCCTAAGGGCCTTTCTCTCTCTCTTTTTTATATGTTGTATTTTGATTACTCAATTAGGCATATTTTTTTACATATATATAGATGCATAGTTTTTACTATACACCTAGATATACGCTATGTACCTAAAAAACCATAACGACATATAATTTAGAGCGGAGGCAAAATTTTCACACCAAACACAAGCTCATGAGGCAAAACTAAGCACATAGTTTACTAGGAGACACCAACCTATGGTTAGCGGGAAGATCTCTATGTATGTGTTTTTGGTTTGGGGAATCACCTTATTTTTCATGAGGGCAAAACTAAGCACATAGTTTATTCGAGACACCAACCTATGGTTAGCGGGAAGATCTCTATGTGTGTGTTTTGGTTTGAGGGAATCACCCCAGTTTTTATGTGGTGGTGCATCATGAGTTCATTCTATAATTTTTTGTAAAATCAACATATTATTCCTCATGCATATACTAATTATTAGCTTGTGAGAAATGAGGTGGTGATGGATCAATTCGTTTCATTCTACAAACCAAACAAAAAGGTGAGTAGTGAGGAAAAAAATGGATCTACTCATTTTTTCCAAACCAACCACACCCTGTAATAATCGTCGCTTCCAACATCCAGCTATGCCTACTTCTTGGCTGAGCATCTCCTTTTGTAACTAGTAGGATCAAAAAGAAAATCCACTTTGGAGCTCTGAAGATCATCTGCATGTACAAATAAATTAATTTTTCTATATACAATAATACAATATCAATTTCTACTTAGCCAAATAAGCCAACATATCTTTCTATATACAATTCTACCTAGCCAAATAAACCAACATACTGCATTTGTCCCCGCTCAAAATTAAATATGCGATTTGGACCTATTCCCTTTAGTATTAGGTAACCAACATACACTATATTTTGGCCTTTCTAAATTACGAGAACTTTGGCATTTCTAGACATATACTGTAGTAAATAAATTACAGTACTAATGGTTTTCGAAGTCTGCATATTTGTCACGCGCCCATGGCGCGTTTGGAACTTTGGATAGCGGCCGTTGTTGGCCTTACCAAAAGTTAGCCGTTGACCCAGCGCAGCATGCTGTGATTGGATGAAGGCCATAATTTAGCTGCCCTCAGCTTTTCTACTCACGGCGTAGTTGATTTCAGCTCCCAAATTTGGCTGAACCATGAGCCACTGATTTTGCCGCCTGGATCTAAACAGGGCCAACTTTGGCTGAGTGGGTGCTTTGGCTTATGGCTTGGCAGCTGACAGCTGAGGGCACACATCCAAACACGTCCATCAGCAGTTGAGGGCATGATTTCGCGCCAAAAACACAAGGTGCATGATACATTGCAACATGGATAACGTACATCGCGGGGGGTTTTCCAGCAACTTGTTCTATGAAGAAAAACTTGCTGTATATCTCTCTGCGCTCAGCAGGAAATTGGTACATTACAATTTTACTTAATGGCACCCTAAGCTGCCAAAACACAACATACAACTTTGCCTCGATCGAGAGCATGCATAAGAGTATCTGGAGTCGTCGAATCGGAAGAAAGAAAAGAAAAAAAATGATCTGGGGGATTTTGATGCATGGTCGCTGTTAAAAACTCGACACGACAATTGCGTAATTAGACCTAGCGTACTCAGCTGCGGGCCTGCGGTACGTTGCTCGTCCTTCTAGCACAAACGAAAGAGAGGGGAAACAACAACAGAAAAATCTGGGTGAGAAGATGACGGGAGCGCGGCGCGTGTTGGATATATTATGGGCTTAGCCCGTATAATATTTAATAAATTAAATAAAACTCTATGGTGCGTAACATTAAACGGTGTATGGTTTAATACAAGACGCGAAATTTGACCGAACGTTTAGTCGGGTTTATATGGTTGAAAATTATCCATCTTAATTGAGAAGTTGAGAAAATGACAAAGCAAAGGCCACCGCAGCAGCCCCAGCGCCTTGCACCGGCCCCGTGGCGCGTGGCCGAGGCCGAGGACGTGGCGAGGCGGGCGCGGGTGGTAAGGCGAAGGCGGCAGGCGACGTGGCCGAGGTTTTGCCACTTAATCCACATAATCACGGGAGTTTCTCTCCTTTATGGTGGAGGCGAACTGATTCGCGTCGATTCTGCGTCTCTTCCGCTTCCGCCTCCTTCCGAGAGAGACCACATCTCAGCAGCCATTTGGCTTCCTCGTCCCGTAACCCTACGTGCACGGAGAACCGGGAGAGCAGATGCCTCCGGAACCCTCGTCCGCCTGCGAACCTTGCACGGGGTGTGCGGCGATTAGGTTTTTGGGGAGCGATTCTATGACTGCTCGTTCGACATCTTCTTCCTCGCGGAACCCGTCTTCTTCCTGGTGATCGCTAGCGGAACCTGTCTTCTTCCTGGTGATCGCTCGCGGAACCCATCTTCTTCCTGGTAATCCGTTCGTGGGACTGCACTGCGAACACCGTCCTGCATCGACTGTGGTCCACGACTTCGAGCAACGCACTATGTCGACTAGTGCGAATGGAGCCTCCGATGCCCTCGGCATGGGACCCTCCGCTGGGTACAATCTTATATCTGTGATTACCGCACTTTGCGTTCTTACTGTATCTATCAGTATGTTATGTCTGCATGCTATAGCGTTTGTTAGAGATATACACATGCACATATATGTCGTCACGAACCTGCTGATGTTATATTTCTGGATTAAATTAACCATAAAAATGCATAATTATCTCGGGGCTATTGCGTTCTTGCCCCTATTTTGAACCCCAATTGTGATTTTACCCATATTTTCTTTCACTTTGTGTTTTTACCCTGTGCTTTTCCAAAACGAAGGTTCAGGGCTTACCCCTACTCCGTGAATGTTGCAGTAATTGTATTAAAAAGTTGAAAGATGACAAGTTTGTCCTTCCGAATATGTCCCTACTTTTTTGACAACTTTGTGATTGTACCCCTGTTTGATTACGTGTATATTTAAGCAGCATTTCGATAGATTTGAACAGAAATTTGCCAACAAAATTTGACAAAAATTGCTAACAAAATTTGGCACAAATTTATCAAAATTTTGACAACATCATCACACAAAAGCAAATAGGTAGTGATTGGCCTCATGCCTCATCTTTACTTTAACTCATTACTTCTTGCCCGCCACACGAAAGCAATATTGGATTGCAATCAAATCAATGTTAACGGTGAGCTTTCTAATCGAAGCAAATCCATCGGGCATTAAATTGCACGCAACATCTATCTATGGGCAGCCATGCTATCTCAACCATTTTGGATCAGTGAACCAAATCCCATCGGATGAAAAATTTTATACCTAGGCAACACCAAATCATAGCTCGGACACCGTCGGCCTCGGCTCCATTGCACGGCCGCTGCACGCCACTCTCGCCAGACACCGCCCGACGGGTCCGGCTGTTATTTTCCGCCGCCGCCCCACCACAGCCATCCGCTAGAGTTGAGAGAGGCGGGTCTTGGCTCCATGGTCGGTTGCTTTCACGAGACGCGCCATGACGCCGGCCAAACCAGCGCCGCATACTTTCATAGTCACAGTGCTGGTTATGCGTGCCACGTCGAGGCTAAGCCCACAGCGCCAGCCGCTTCCTCCCTTTGCATCGCATCGCCCTTCGCGCCTCGCCGCCCGGCCGACAGCCGCGCCTTCCGCCACCGCCATCAAGACCCTGGCCAATGCACTGCTAGCGTTGAGAGGGGCGACCACAGGTGAGACGACCGAGAGATAAGGGGTAAGTTTGTCTTTTCACGGGGTTTTGTTAATTTTAATTGCTTTGATCCGGATGTAGATAACTTCGATTAAGAATTAGGGTAAATGGAGCCTTCATTTTGAAAAAGTAGGGGTAAAACACAAAGTGAAAGAAAGTGGGGTAAAATCACAATTGGGGTTTGAAATAGGGGCAAAACGTAATAATCCCAATTATCTAACAATCCAAAAACCTAATCTTAGGCAATTTTTGTCGATTGGTTTCTTTGTTGTTTTGAAGCCAAATAATTTTGATGGCAAGAATTTCATGATATGGCGTACCAATATGGTATTGAGGTTGACTGCGATGAACTGCTATCACGCCGCACAGGGGAAGCCTGAATAGTTTACTCCTGAGGAGGAGCAAAAGTTCTTGGCTGCCGATAACATGTTTCGAGGCGCCGTGATTAGTGCACTCCATCCTAAGTATGAGAAAAACTACATATTTTGCATATCAGGCAAAGAGTTATGAGATGCTCTTGAGACAAAGTTTGAAGTTTCTGATGCTGGCAGTGAGTTCTACCTTATGGAGCAGCTGTATGACTACAAAATGGTTTAAGACCATTCTGTAGTAGAACATGCTCATGAGATATAAGCGCTAACAAAGAAACTAGAATATTTTCCATGCCTGTTGTCCGACAAGTTTGTGACTGGTGGTATAATCGCTAAGCTGCCACCTTTTTGGAGGGATTTTGCTACTTCTCCAAAACACAAGAGACAAGAGTTTAGCATGGCTAAACTTATTGGATCTCTTGATGTTGAGGAGAGGGCGAGAGCAAAAGACAACCGTAGAAAAGGAGTTGAGTCTTCCGCTGCCAATATGGTGCAGAAGAAAAACTCATTTGCATCTTGTAATAAAAAGAAGAAGAACATGCAAGAGAACAACAATGCAAAGCCTAAGCAAACTGCTCAGTTTAAGAAGAAAAATAACAAGAAAGGTGGAGGTTACTTTGTTTGCGGGAGTGATGAGCGTTGGGCAAGTGCGTGCCCAGACCGTAAGTATAAGCAAGAAAAGAAATCAGCAAACGTGGTAATTGGCGAGACTGGAGGAGAAACATCTGGGTATGGTAATTCTTTACCTTTTGTTCTTTTAGTTTGTCTTTCACCTGAGTGGTGAATGGACAACGGTGCTAATATTCATGTGTGTGCTGATGTTTCTTTGTTTACTTCCTATCAGGCCGGCAGGACTGGAGCCTTGCTGATGGGAAACGGTTCGCATGCGCGTGTTCTTGATGCTGGTACGGTCGTTCGAAAGTTTACTTCGGGAAAGACGGT